GTCTTTTTGGCTAAAACAGCAACTGATTTGTTTAATGCAAATCGCCGCGATTTTCACCTGAACTTTATGTGTGAAATCATCGCGAATTTGCAGACTGTTTGCACGAGCGATGAAATCGCCGCAAAAATTGCAAATGTCGCAATAAAATTGCAATTTTATAAACTAGCCCTAAAAGAACATAACTCGCGATGCGTCCGTTTCCAGGTCAATYACTTCACAATTTCAATACACCATTTCGCGGATAATTCGAAAGTTTACATTACGTTGTTATGGTAAATCATTRACATCACTGGAAAGAGCTTCATAAAATCAGCAAATTTGCCAAGTTTGAAAATAATCTGATTTAAATTCAAAGAGATATGGCACTTCAAACTAAATTTTGCATAGAAATGTTTGGCGAGGTTGTAACAAGTCAAGGTCAACCTCGATCTCATGCCGGCAGCCCATACATTTCTTTGTAAATTTTGCCGACTTTTAAACGCTGTATCTCCTTGAATTTTCATCGAATCATGCTCAAACCTCGTAAACATACTAATTTTATACTGTTCTTTCCAGTGGTCGTAATAGTTTTTCGATATTTGCTCAATTTCTAATAGCTGTGTTATCCGCGAAGTGGACTATTCTGTAAACGGCTATATCGGTGGCTATTTTTTTTATAGAAATCATGAAGAAACTGTTTGCTTTTGTCTTAACAACCATACAACTACCATCACTACAATACAACGCTTTTCCGTGTACTTACTCTGTATTAATGTGAAGTGACCTCCATGTTTTCAACAGCTTGTCCTGCAGGCCATATCAACACCAATACTGAGAACCCTTGCCAACCATGCCCTGTAAATACATATAAAGAAGATAATGTCTCTTGTCAAAAGTGTGTTCGTTCGGCAAAGACGTGGGGAAGATTAGGCGTAGATAAGTCAAATGGATGCACAGGTAAAGTGAAACTTTAGGAATGTAGGGGGGCTTTGAAAAACAAACAAACAATGAAGGGGGGCTTTAATGGCATTTGCTGACTTGAAGGGGGGGAGGGGGGTTGAAACAAAAAAATTAAAGTATGTATAATATATAATATCAATATGTTTTTTTTTATTTTTATACATTTCTTATCAATGATCATTTTAAGCAACAACTTTTCTTTCTTTTTTATAAAGGTCTAATCACATAGGCATTCACTTGCTTTTTTGTGATTCCTTTTAAAGTTTTAAGATTCGCTATTTTACAATGCTTTATACATGTTGCGGGGGGGGACTATTTATTGCGGGGGGGCGGGGGGGGGCTATTTTTCCTCAATGTCAGAACGAGGGAGGCTCGAAAAAAATATTGTGATAGAGTAAGGGGGTCTGCGAATTTTCACAAGGTATTTTTGACTTTTCCTCCAGAACACCCTGGGGCATATTTAATGAACAGTCCCTAATCATAGAATTTACAAGATTGTCCTGATTAATCTTAACGTTGTGTTTTTTTCACAGAGGAAAACCCGATTCAGGTGTCTTCGATTCATATTAAACTCCTTCCACAAGTTCAACTTGTAGGGACCATTTTGACTTTCAATGCAAGCTACCACAACGGTTCTCTTGTTATTCCACCGCTACGCTATTCAATAAATAGCATTACAAAACAAAACATATTTTCAAGAGACGGTTCCGTGGTATCATTAATTAAAGATGCTATTTCAGAGTACTTTGATTCCTGCTTACAGCTTGGGAACTTATCTTATCCATTTTGTATTCATACCGAAAATGGTAGTATAATGGCCAACAAGAACTTCAGTTGTATTGAAGGAGATAAGTTCGTGTTGAAYATAAATGTGTCGGACTCTGCTGAAGAAKAYAAGGGTATTATTTCGAACTCGAATGGGAGCGTAACTGTGACATGCACAGATTCTTGTAAGGCTGTTCGACCATTATATAACAAAGCAAACAATACATGTAGGACATGTCAAAGTATTCATGCAAAAGAGAACATTAGCTTCCCCAACAACGGCTCGAGTGAAATTCAACCCAAATGGTCTTGGACAAAGTATGATTTGTACGCAGTATATTTAATAAAAAGCGAGGGGAAAATGTTAAGTAATCCCTGCGTTTTGAAATTTAGCTATGAAGCTTCCAATGGAATTTTGGTTACTAACCCAAAATTCGACATCGGTATAAATGACACGATCGAGTCAATAATTCTGGAAAAACCACTTCGACTGACAGTGCACACGTTCACGTTGGCTCTAATTTGCAGTAACAACACAAATGGCTTGTCTAATATATCAAGGGTATTGTTTACCGTTATACCACGCAGTGTTAACTGCACTACTTCAAACGAAACATGTCTAAAATCTTTGTACAACTGGAAAATGAAAATCAAAAGATCACCGACTGATTGCAAAAAAGATCCTTCAAAACTCATGGATTGTTATGGACACTGCGTGGGTAAGTGGCTAGAGAAACTTATTCCCGCACTTAATCGGCGTTTACGCGAGCAATTTGTCCTTGACAAGTTTTCCTTGACAAGGAAAAATTGCTCGACGTGTAAATGGGGTAAAATTGACATTTTTTCCTTGTCAAGGAAAAGCCAACATGTTCGCTTTTCCTTGACAAGGAAAAATTGTCAAGGACGAAATTTGCTCGTGTAAATGGACAACAAGGGAAATGTGGCAAGGAAAAATTGTCAAGGACGAAATTTGCTCGTGTAAATGGACAACAAGGAAAATGTGGCAAGGAAGAATTGTCAAGGAAAACTTGTTGACCATTCACACAGACATATTTTCCTTGTCAAGGAAAACTTGTTCTTCGTTTACACTAGCAAAGAAACATTGTCGAGGAAGAATTGTCGAGGAAAGCTTGTTGACCATTTACACGGGCAATGTTTCCTTGTCAAGAAACTTGTCAATGAAAAATTGCTCGTGTAAACGCCGCTTTAGACTTCCCTCTTCATTGGCCGTGTTGAGTACATTGTTAGTCTACATAAATCTACACTGGCACCTGTGTCGCCCTATGGGTTGGGCAAGTTTTGTAGTGCATGTCTGCCAATTTACGTTGATTTCGTACACATGAAACCTCAATTGAAAATTTTCAAGGTCTTGTTTCGGACACTAAAATCGCAGAGGGCTGCAACAAACCTATGGAGCACGTGCACATTTTCCGCAACAAACCTATAAGCTATCATTGTGTGTTTATCGCCAGTTTACAAAAGCATTGCGCTGTTCCGATAGCATTTTCACCACTGGAAAATCACTGCTCGCATCACGCGACAAATTTGCTACTGTACAGATGCGATACAGATCGCGAGGAACGTCGAGGTCCAATCGATATCGTACTGCAATGATCATTTTTTTTTGTAAGCACTTTTTTATCTTTCATGGTCGTCATATTTTTGAAATTCAAAGGACCTAAAACCCTGACTGTCAGCACAATCGCTACAATATTACAATGGTTATGTAACATTAAGTTAAAGGCTTTACCATATTTAAAAAAAAATGTTTTTGCTATTCATAGAAAAACCAGATATTCGCGGACCAAGAGATTGGCGAGGAATATCAGAACAGGATGTACTTTTKCATTGCAACGTCACAAGTATAATGCCATTTCAAATTGAATGGCTGAAGGACGGTAATAAAGTTGGCAGCGGACAGACTCTTYYAGTAAGAGCGAATACSACTAACCAAGGCGAATATTTATGCCAAGTCACTAATATATTTGGATCATGGAAAAGGACTGCTCTATTCGTGCTGACAGGTAAAAGGTTTGTGCAGTGCCATGAAAATTAATATTACAGCAGATTTGAGCGTGCAACGGTATAGATCACGGCRCAGACATGGCAGGGTCGTAGTGACGCCAAACGAAATTACTGAGTCAAAACTACATCACCGTAATGACCCTTATAGCTAGGGGATTGTAGAGGTCCGCTACGCAGGCTGGRTAGGATGTGGTCTCGGCACTTTAGTGCACGACACGGATCATGGCGCGGAGCCTTACCCCTGCCGAAACAATTGAATCGACAAAAAGATGACTGCGCAAGAGGACTGGACGTTGCCATACTTCTTGCCCGGTTATTGGTCACAGAATTGCATGCAGGACTTTCTTATTAGTCCTTTTTAATGACACAAATTCGTTCGTCAAGGACTGTTTCTGGTAGTGATTATAAAAAAAGCCCYCAACTTAATGAAATAGTTGATAAACAACATAATAAATAAACAGAAACAGATTTAAGGAGTATTCCGCAAGTTTTTTTTCCTTCCAATTTTCAAGGGCTGTTTTTAAAAGTGCCCTTGAAAACGAAATTCCACTTCCAAGGTTTTCAAAGAGCAGCACAGACCCTTGTCAATGAAAATTAACACCAAAGGAAAGCAAATGCCAGTTTGCATCATCTGCGCACGTTTCAATCGACACTCACTCCTTTTAGATTTTGTGATTTTATGACGTTGTTAATCATGAATCTTTAGTACTGTATGCCTAAGTATCAAATTGGTCATATGATTTTCATTTAGATTATTTCACATCGTACGTGAAGATAAAGTTGAACAAGGAGTACCAAACAAGTAAAAAAACTTTGGTAAGTCCAAGCACTGCTAGCAACCGTAATGAATTGGAAAAGTTATTTGTGTACACCTCGATTATAACCTTCGTCCTTCTAAATGTGAAATATTATAATGTAGTATACATCACATATCTATCTTATAAATAGTGAATGAAAGATGTTTTGAATAATTCCTGCTTTTCGATATCCCCACAGAATATCTGCACAACTGAATGTAGACGTCTTGCCAATTCTCTTGTGAATTATTCGACAGGACCTTGTAGAAAAGCATTAATGTAAGCCAATCYAGTACCTCACCATCATAGCTGAAGAAATCTTATTCATCGAAAAAATAATAATATTTACGGGGGGAAAAGCTGTTGCTCAAGATCTCAGTACTTTCAACTGTGAATTAAATATCCACGTACATCCGAGAACTATTGYAAAAATTCCTCACATAATGAAAATCGGCACACTGGAGAATTTATGAATGATCAGGTGTAGCCCGGTTCCATCKTTTGCTGTCTTAGCTTCCATTTCGCTTTTTCGCTACCGCAAAGGATCTCGGATGCAAATGGAACCCAACGAAAGAAACCATTATACATTGTACATTGATTCGGTTGAATTTTTTTGTTGGATATTTATTGTTTAGGAATTTGGGTGGCAATATCGGTGTCGAGTGCACGCTTTATGGAAAGATACAGAGTCAAAAGCTTGATGAGTATTATGACACTTTGATTACTAAACTCAAAGATGAAGTAAGAAACGAAAACATACTAGAATTTTCCGTAAGAGATGCAGGTAAACAATGCATACTTGAATTTATATCACATGCGAAAAGTCTTGATTGCCATTTATCTTCTTCTGTACGATTCTGTGCGAATTGCCAACTAGACTTCTATTTCATAGTGTATAAGGATTGTGAGATAAACGTAGGATTTAAAAAAGAGATGAAAAAGAAATGCAAGGACAGTCCCTTCCTGCTATATCCATAGAGGCGGTATCCCTTTTTTCGCAAATAACTGGAAGACGAGTCTCCTCTTTGTCTTTTCTCAAAGGACATGCAGCTGATGAGCTTTTAAAAGCATCTTGCGCCATGGATCAGTTCTTTTTCATTTCAATTTCCTTGCCCTTAACAGTAAGATAGTTTTGATTTGTCTTGAGAAAAAATTGTCCGGCATTCCTAGCCGCTCCGGGAGAGTTTGAGCTTTATAGAATTMTCGGCTCAAGCTCTCTCCGAGCGGCTAGGAACGCCTTGCTGCGTAGGCTATTTGCAAGTTATATCTTTGTATAATCTATTTTTTCCAGAATTTTGCTTACGAGAAAACACAGGGACACCAGATCTTCGAGGCGTCTTTAATTGGAACTTAACAAGAAGAAGTGATAAGCATAGTCTACCTTGTCCTTATGGTCCTAGTGCGAAGACAGCAACAAGACAATGTGGTGGGAAGTTCACAATAGGTGCTACTTGGAACGGCCCCAATGATAATAATTGCAATGACAAGCCGACAAATACTGGTGCTTTAGATAAACTAAACAAGGTAAATATGAATTCAATGTTAGCCTTTTGATGTATTGGAAACCGAGGTTRAGAATTCCACACATTTAGTAGTGTTCAACGTTATTAAACTGATTTACTCAACTAATTTTCTATTTTTTGTGACATTTTATTTCCTTTTAGACCAAAGTGGACTCTGAAAACGCCAAAGAGGTTGCACAAAATCTTTCTAAAATATTTAAGAAGTCATCTTCAAAGAAKCTGACTGGAAAAGATGCTAGTCTGGCTGCAAATTTATTGGAAGATATTGTATCTTTTACAGAAAAGCTCAATGAGGTAGGAAGTAGGCTCATTTTTTGGCCGTATAATTTCGAACGTTCCTGCGATGCGCATATYCTGATTTATAGCGGGCACATAAGATATACCGACGCCTGAAAACTGCATCTAAACTACGCTTGCTCTATCCTCTAAATATTTGATGATTATGAAGTGCTATTTTGTCGCWTWTTCAATTGGAAATTTTCAATAAAGTTTTAAAGTTATTATTGCTATAGAGACCTTGGGGTCACCCACTTTTACCAAATTGATCATCGCTTCCTTTTACTTATGTTATGTTAAGAATGAATATATAGCAGAGTTGAGGGTCCTAGCATTCGGTGGTTCTATTATTTCTTATAGACTGCTGGCCTGGTGCTTGAAGTGATTGATACTATCATGGAGATGGATGTAACAACCCTCGGTTCAAGAGCAGATGCCACGAGCAAGTAAGGTGTTTTCAAAATAATTTCATTTTAACAAGACGAAGATCTATAGTAACCACATTAATACGCAATAGTTGCAAGAAACATCTTAAATTTCTCTTTACTTTGTTCCAAGCTTTCGGATTTACAATCAATCATCAGGGAATAAAACGGTTGCACATTTATCCATGACGTTTATAAAACGTCAAGGAAACTAAAACAAAACTAACGCAATGATAAAATGCAGAGAACAATCAAAATTTCATCCCATGAAAATGTCGTGCCCATTTTATAATGACCCATTAAATTACTTTTATGTTAAATGATAGCATCGTTCATAGCGTTCTGTTTGTATGTATAACTCTGCTTTGCCTATTTCTTCAGAATCATAAAAGTATTGGACAAAGTAGCCGAAAATATTCCCATCGAAGAAGGAAAAACGTCGAAGGTTTTGACGACTGGAAACTTGGTTCTTCAAGCCAACAAAGCCAACAAAAACTCTTTCAAGGGTTTAAGCTTTGGGGTTAGAACTGATGGCTCCGTTACCAACACTGCAGAAGAAAGTACGGTATCAGTGGAGCTACCTTCTTCTGTTTTGGAACACTCAAGCCAGTCATCTTCTCGTGTTGGATTCATTTACTATGGCAATAATAAACTATTTCAGTCTGAACTTGGTGGTGGGAATACAACGAAACTCAGTGAGCAGATTCTAAGTAGTAGTGTGTACAATACGAAAACGTCCAGTTTGTCAGACCCTTTGAAACTTAAAATTCCAAGACCGATAGGGAAAGATGTCAAATCGTTGAGGAATTCTTCTTGTGTGTACTGGGGTGAACAAGGTAGGGAAGCAAACACGTGCAGTCAAAGAAACAGACCAATCAAGCGCTCAACTACATATACAGAAAAACTCTCTGAATGATATGTACTTTGCCCTGAAGAAGGAACAAGTAAATCAAAAGCAAATCATATTTCATGTCTATGCGCGGTAATAGGGACAGGTTGCAACCTCCGTATGAAGAGGATACATTTGAATTTTGTCTCCAATTATTKAACGATTCGGTTAATGAATTTTTTTGGAAATACTGATTGTGTTACAATTGTGCCCTCTCTTGCAAAAAAGCGAATTTCCTTTCCAGTTAGTTTCCCTCACTCATGCGCACCTTGTGCATATAGCGAAAAATGTCTTCTTCCTTTTAGGACGCCAATGGCTGAGAGATGGCTGTACCTTATGTAAAGAAGATGTAAAATCAGTGCAATGTTGTTGCGATCATATGACGAGCTTCGCTGTTCTCTTTTCACCTCAAGCATCTGTAATACCCCAAGAAAAGACTGGTCACGCCAARGTTCTCAGTATTATAACGTACGTTGGTTGTGGTATATCTCTTCTTGGTGTCTTACTGACCTTCTTAACTTATTTACTTTTCAGGTGAGTTGTTCCTATATGAATCATTTTAATGATTAAAATTAGAATTAGGTTTTTTTTGGTTATCCGAGCACCAGTAAGCTCAGGAAGGAATGGTTCAAATCCATGCCGGATCAACCCTAGGGGTCTTGAAATTGTTGATGTTGCCTGCTTCCTTTTGTGTTCTCTTTTCATGACGTTTATCAGACCTACCGTCCTTTGTATTGCTACGTGACTAGCTCAGACAAAATTCGTGACTTGCAATTTTTCCAAAATTTCAAATAAACTGGAGGTTGTCGCCAAATTAGCACTATTGCTAATTGCAGCAGTGAAGTTTTCCGTTGTGACTTCGAATATAGCCTGCTTTTTGATTGATCCATTAGTACAGAATATCGATTGTTAGGTTGGGTTTCGTTTAATTGTTTACAAGAGCATCTACTGTTTGTGTATTGTTTTCTAAAGCAATCACGAGCTTCTAACGGTTTATAGTCACGTCGCAATGCAAAAGACAGTTCAGAATTGGAGCTTATATGCCTATAAAATTCATAATGTCACTTCAATTTTTGCAATTTCTAGGCATTTGCGCAAGACCAATCAGCAGCCTATTCTGATGAACATATGTGCAGCCATTGGATTYTTACTCATTGTGTTCGTAGCTGGTATCAATAGCACTAATTATACACGGGGTTGTCAAATTGTTGCTGTACTACTCCAATACTTAACCCTTGTCACTGTGCTATGGATGGGTATCGAGGCATATAACTTATACCTACAGATAGTTAAAGTCATGGCTATATACCAACGTAAATTCATGCTGAAAGCTGCGATGGTCGGCTGGGGTTTACCTCTGCTTATTGTACTTGTAACCCTTACTGCAGCAATTATCCAATACAAACAAAGYAATGAAAGTATCGAATTTTACTATGGTAGCAAGGAAGTGTAAGTATCCACCATGATAAAAGTGATGGTAGGGTGCAAACAATATATCCGTGCAACAAATAGTGAAATTAAGTATAATTAGTGAAAAATATAGTCGAAGCGTGAATATGGCTAAATTTAGTGTRCACGTGAAAATAGTCGAGCAACGTCTTACAGTACAATGACACTGGTGAAAAACGCACTGCGCATGTCCACTGTTCCCGCTGAAATCTGCCTAATTTCCTTTGTAAARCGATTTTTGTGAAAGTTTTTTACAATTTATAAGCTCGTTCACTGATATATAAGATTCATATTTCCATCAATCATTGTTCATGATAGGTCCTTTTAGTATGTAGTGTCTATTTTTATCTTGGCATTTCTATTTTGAAAAAAATGAGGTTTTTCGTAGTGTTTTCTGTGTTGTCGCTGTAAATCGCCAGGCGCTCTGTTTACAGATTTCAAGACGCGAGCGCCCACTGGCGGGAAAGCTGTGGGCATGCGTTTTTCACCAGTGTCCAATACAATACGCTTTCACAATCCAGTGACCACATAAATCATAATTTAGTAAAATTTATAGTAAAATTTTTAGTAAAATTTATAAGTAAAATTTAATACAAATTAGTTTTTGTAACATATATACATTGCTTGCACTCTATTGGTTGGGCGAAACAATCAAAAAAATACAGATACTGTTTTATCCGATACTGTACTAAAAAAAAAACATGAAAGCTGCAAATCCTCCTATCAATGTCCTAATTTTTGAACAGACATTATTCCATAACTATATATAACAGCTGTTGCAATAAATTCAAGCTTTAGTCGATTGTTAATTTGGCTAATGTATACTTCAGAGCTTGCAAGAAAAGTGACTGATCAAGTTGCTGTCCGATTGATTAATCAATTGTTTGACTGGTTAATTACTTGATGAATGAATGAATTGATTGACATGCTAATTGACTTGCTGATTCATTGACTGACTTATTTCAATGATTATTACTTGTCTGAATGGCTAACTAACTTCTGGATTATTTGATTGTTTTCAGGTGTATTCTTCACAATCATCTTTATCGAATCATTGGTTGGTTTTCTCCTATTCTTGTCATTCTGGTAATAAATTTTGCTATTTTCTTCGTTGTTGTTCGTAAGCTAAATTCAACAGGGGCAATGACTCCAGTTGAAACTAAATCTGCACAACGAAAACGTTGCTGGACTGCCTTCGCTATTTTGTGGCTWYTGGGTCTTACTTGGTTGTTTGGAGCACTTGCCATTTCAGACGCAAGAATCGTCTTCGAATATCTATTCTGCATTTTCAATTCGTTACAAGGATTTTTCATCTTTTTCTTCCACTGCGTAAGAATTCCTGAAGTTCGTAAACAATGGAGCTTTTTCGTTAGCGGCTTGGGATTTAGYCACAAGGATAGYGAGCCATCTCGTCCAAGATCACGTGGTATYGGGGAGAGTCACCATAGTTCTCAAGAGAATGGTCGAGTGCGAGGAAAGTCCTTCACTCCGTCCRATAAGGACGCTCCACGGAAAGAAACTATGCTAACAACAGTTGACGACCAAAAAAACGGCAATGCATATCATGATGCAAAGAAAATTGATATTGAGCTCGATAACGTTAATCACCATAGTAACTATGCAGTAGATGAATCTTGATGAATTACAAACCGTTATATATAGACAAGTTCACGTCATCGTCCGCAAAAACGCACGAAAGGAATTCATTGCATGTACCTTCTATAATTCCGATAACAAAACGAAAAAGGGACTGGGTCCGAACTTYGAAATCTAATTAAATAATGGTTCCAGAAAGAATAACCCAATCATGTGAGAGAGCACCATATAAAAGGCTTACTGACTAAGTTTCATGATGTTTGAACGTATAACAATAAAGTTGCGGACATTCAAACCATGCAAAAATTACAAAGAAATGTATGGTGTCCAGCCAAAGCGTCCAACCAAACATACATATATTCTTTGTAATTTTAGAAATTTTTGAAAAATTCTTTTTCCATTTCTAATGACTTAAACTTGCTCAAACTTTAAACTTTGGCTAATTTATATGTGCTTTACCTATCGACAACAGATTTCTGAAAGATTGTATCACTTTTGAAAAATTCAGTTCCAGGCCCCTGCTCGTTTTATTATCGGCCAATAGAGCAAGTMATCTTATAACTAAGTTAGCGATTGAAAATGAGATCAAAGTTGACGATTTGAAGGCCCACGTGACATCCACCATCATTACTTTTGAAAATCCATCATCGTTGATTTTGAACCAAAACAAGGTATCATTTCTAAAACAAAAGAAACGATCGCAAAGGCTCTAGCCTGTGTTACATCCGGTTTTATTTGGCGAAATAWACCGGATGTAACGCAGGCTACAAAGGCTCTTGGATGTAAATTGGTATATCGTTGTTTTCCTTTAATATTCACGATTCGAACCGTGTTATATTTAGTAAAGAAAATATCACTTTTTTCGGCATCTACATTGTAGTTGCTTTACAATGCTCCACGACTATGATTGTCGTCGCCTTAAACAAATGATATCATGCATCTTTCCAAAGAAGAGACGCTTTTTAAAATCTTACTAGACTGAAGTTATATAAGATCAAAATGATCCAGATTCGTTATATTTGTGCTCATTTGCCCTATGTAAAATTACGGACGTTATAAGCGTATAGTAATTATAAGTAATTTATTCAGATACACCTTAAAGTACGTCGAGCAGCAATCATTAAACTTATCTCACAACATTGCTGCAAAACAAGTGGCAAAGTGATGTTGTGCATTTTACTACGGGCGAACCAAATTGTCTCGCATCAAAATAATTTGTTGCAGGTTGAGCAAATTCTTATTTCTGATTGACTAAAGCAGTCAGCTGATTGTCGCACGACGTCATCTGTTTTGATGCAAGACAAGTTGGGTTGTTGTGGTAATACGCGCAACATCGATGGATTTTGTTGCAAAAAGTAGAACGATCTTTTACCTTCTGCAACGAATTTTTCAACC